ATATCAAAATTACCCTTTTGAGGAGAAAACACATGCAGTGGCCACAATCTTCTGAGCTTACCTGTCTTGAATTTAACCCAGTAGATTCCTTCCTTCGGAAGCCACTGTTTTGAGGAGGTATTTTGAAGACACCCTAATGAGACTAAGGCAAGTGGATTACTGAGAACTTGTCTTTACCACTCACTGAGAGCACAGTCATGTGTAAACATATCTTTTAAAGTTTTTCATGGTACAATCATTACCACAATCCATTTGTGTGCTTTCTTGTTTCCTCATAGTCAAATCAGTTTAAAAATGAGTTAAGTAACTGCCATCAGTTCTAGTGCTCCCACCCCCGACCATGACCTCCCTTCTGCACTCTTGCATCAGGTCTTACTTATTTCTGTGCAGCTGCTCCTTCTGTGCTTCACAAACTGGAAAGCGCAACACCAACAGGAAAAAACAGAAACAAAAGAAAGTGGGAAGGATAAGGAAGACATTAAAAAATTTTTTAATTGTTTTATTAGGGGCTCATACGACTCATCACAATCCATGCATATATCAATTGTGTAAAGCACATTTGTACATTCATTGCCCTCATCATTCTCAAAACATTTGCTCTCCACTTAAGCCCCCGGCATCAGGTCCTCATTTTTCCCCCTCCCTCCCTGTTCCCCTCTCCCTCATGAACCCTTGATATTTTATAAATTATTATTTTGTCATATCCTGCCCTGTCCGACGTCTCCCCTCACCCACTTTTCTGTTGTCCGTCTCCCAGGGAGGAGGTCACATGTAGATCCTTGTAATCGGTTCCCTCTTTCCAACCCACTCTTCCTCCATGCTCCCAGTATCGCCACTCACACCACTGGTCCTGAAGGGATCATCAGGTCTGGATTCCCTGTTTCCAGTAAGGAAGACATTTTTGTCATGGAACTAGCAAGAAATACTTGCACCTGGAAGAATTTCAGATTGGGTTGAGGGAGGTCAACTGACCAACTATCAAGTGCGAACCAGTATCATCACAAATGATCTCTATCTGATATTTAAGCTGTTTGACCCTTGTCTGTGGCTAGAGGGGATCTACCTCTACCATCAGCTTAATCAGGCTAGATACTCCGCATAAGGGTTTTGGGTTCCCACTGTCCTCCACAGCCTTCTACAAATTGGGTGTTTGCAATTTAGGTTCTGATACTTTTCTTTCTCATATTTGAATTTTGCTATTGTCTTTGGGTCACACAGCTGGTGTGCTTCTTCCATGTGAACTTAGTTGACTCCTCGCTTACACTGCTGCTTGTTTGAATACAAGCCTGTAAGATCCCAGACACTATTCTGATTGATAGCTGGGCACCATCTGCTTTCTTCACCACACTTTGCAGTAGCACTCTTCCATCATCATTTCATAAAGGTGAGCAGGGCCATCTTTTCAGAAGTAACTGTTTTTAGATTGGGACTGGAGTTCAGTGGGGCCCAGAATCCAACTGCCTGTCCCTGGAAGATGCATGACTCAGGTTGACTTGGGCGGTCGTATATGACCAATTCAACCCCCTTAAGACCACCTACCCCACGACAGCAACATACCAGTTAGCAGACAAGAGACAAACAAACGAGCAAACTGAAGGCAAGGAAAGAAAAACCCAGAGGCAGAGAAGTCAAACATTGTCAATCATCCCCCTGGGGTATAAGGTGATTACACTTCTAACATCATCCATTTTTCCAGTGACACAACCCTCTGGACAGTCGGTGTGAGTCCGTGAGAGTACAGTTCCTCCGTGAGTCAAAACCCATGAGTGGTTGGATCCACAAAGCTCAACCTCCCATTCAATTGGGCTCTGTTTATCCTAAGCATGGGGGTTGGTGCCAGGGGAATACTTTCAGTTCTTCTAAATTCAAACCCATACCCAACAGATCAAACAAAACCTGCCATACCTTGGGGGGAGCAGGGGGTGCGAGGGGATCGAGGTACTAAATATATGGTGATTCTGAACTCCTTTCCACTGGACACCCACCAGACTGGGGGTTCCCCCAAAGTCTAGTGACTGCCACTTCCACAGGTCCGGGCAGCCACTCTCTGCTTCCCCTCCCATCTGAATACCCCAGTCCTCAGTACAAGGGTGCAGACACCTTTGAGACAGGACTTGGTTTATTCTGCTGGACTCTTTGTTATATCCTTGCCCCTGGGTTATGCCAGGCTCACCTGAAGATCAGAATCCAAGGTCATCATGGTGTTTGGTCCATGGCATGTTTCACTGAGGGTTGCTTAGACACAGACTCGTAGTGTCTACCCATAAAATCTGGATCGTTACCCTCTGAAGGACCCTACAATCACTTTTAGCATCCCTTCCCAATGTGAGGTTACTTTCCCAGATCACCCACCATACTCACTAAAATGCAGATGCTCCCTTCCCATGGTCTTGGCTTGATTTTCTGGCAAAGTTCTCCTTCCTTTCCTTTGGGGCAGTCCACTGATTTGTCCCAGGCTTGTCTCAGTGTTGTATTGCCTTAAGTGGATGGCCTCTTCCCATCTTCCCCTTCTTGAAGGAGTGACCCTGGACAATGTGAGGTCTCCTTCAAGATGGCTCTTGTGGCCTGGTAGGGCTTGATCAAGGGCAATGTAACTGAGAGGAATTATTGAAACCCAAATGAAGGCTGAGCATAATAGTGGGACAAGAGGAAAGTTAAAG